TCTGTCTCTGTCTCTTTGTATATGTCTTTCTATGTCTGTCTCTGTCTGTCTCTGTCTCTCTTTCTTTCTCTCTCTGTCTCTCTCTCTCTCCTATTTGTATGCATGTTGCATCCTGCCAGTAGTATAGAAGCTCCTCAAAGAGTTGAGTTGGCACCCATGCCACCAAGTGCCACTGCCCATGGATGCCCCCTGTACACTGAGTCCTAGGCTCTCTGTGCCCCCCATCTTTATTCATTCCATACTACCCACAGACATCGAGCAGCCTCCTCACCTTGGCAGTACCTGCCGGTGTAACCTGGGGGGCAGTCACAGTGACAAGTGCTGACATTGAGATGTCCATTGTTCCGGCAACTCATCCGACACGGGTTTCTGGGTACCTCTGACCAGAGAGGGCACAGGGAATAAATTGGTAAGGCACAACTCCACCAGGCTAAGCCAACTCCAAAGATGCCAGTATTCTTAGGGCGGCATTTCTGGGGACTGGTGGCATCTTAGGTGATATCACCAGAGAAAGGACAGGGGTAGAAATCATTGCCTACTCATCAAAATGTACATCACCCCCACACATCACCTCCATCCAGAAGTTTTAGCTTCCTCTGAGTCATCAGGAAAATATACCAGAAATGCCTGTCTAGGAGAACACAAGGGAGGAAAAAGAAGGGGGACAAAAAGAGAACTGGGGGAACACTCACCACAGAGCCCACCACCATGATCCCAAGCTTTGAAACAGCCTGAGACACCAGCAGTACAGAGCGAGCACCAGGCCCCTTTTTTGTATGGAACAATGGTCTTCCCATTCACCTCCCAGTTGCCCCTGCGTGAGAGAGCACAGCAGCTCAGGGGTGTTGAAAGAGTGCTGGGTTTGAAGCCATATAACCTCTGACCTTTCTACTGTGCACCATGTACCGTGTAACTGTGGTCAAGTCATTGACTATGTCTGCGGCCCAATTTCCTTAACTAAAATGAGAAAGTTGAATTAGAATCAAGGATCCTTGATTTCTGGGGGTCCATGAATTTGTTTTTTTTTTTAAATTATAACTATATTTCAATATAGTTGGTTCCCTTTGTGATCCTTTGTATTTTATTTTATCACTTAAAAACAGGATTCTGCGAAGAGGTCCATGGGCTTCACCAGACTGATGCCCAAGGGGGACAGGACAGTCAAGTAACTAGCCCCTAAAGGCCCTCCCATGTCTAGATCTGTGATTCTCTGAAGGATCTGGTGACCTGGATGGGAAGGTAGGGGACAAGGAGGGAACATTCATTATGGGTTGACTCCTCCTCCCCTCCCTGCCGACAAGTGGAAAATTGCAAAAGGTACAAGTCCCTTTTGTCTGATGCCCGCCAGGATGGACGGTCCCAGAGGGACGGATGTGGGGTGGACAGCGCCCCCCAGGCGCAGATACGGGGGGACCTTACCCGGGAGAATAGGCACAAGCGAATGCCTCCATCTCCATGAGGCCCGCAGTGCACAGGTGTTTCCCACAGCCCAGCTGGCTTGAGGTGGCCCACACCAGCTGCAGGAGAAAGAGAGGGTCCGCAGGTTTAGAGTCACTGCACATGGTCCACTCCCCACCCCCACCCTCTGCACCTTCTGGGCGTGTCCCAACCCACTCCCCACTCCAGAAGTTGTGGTGATGCTCTTTCAAGCTGGGGACTACACAGAGGTAAGCAGAGAGAAGAACGTGTCTCACTTCCACACCTCCCCCATCCCTCCCCCAGTAAACAGAGTTGGGTAGAGCTGGTCTGGGGAAACTTCCTGCCGGGACTGAGTGAGTCTGGAGCTACACTTTGAAGGGAGAGAGGGGCAGAATGGGTAGAGAAGGCGGTGTAGGGTATCCCAGGCAGGCAAGCAGGGAGCACGAGGGCCTACGGGGACCACGGCGCTCTGCACAGCATAAATTTGGAGCGGGAAGGGACATCAGTGATGTTTCAGTCCAGCCTCTTCATTTTATAGATGAGGAAACTGAGGCCCATAGAGTTCAAGCGACTTGCCTAAAGTCATGACAGTAAGACATGGTAGATCAGGTGGTGCAGTGGGTAGAGCACTGGCCCTGGAGTCAGGAGGATCTGAGTTCAAATCTGGCCTCAGACGTTTACTAACTGCATGACCCTGGGCAAGTCACTTAACCCCTATTGCCTCAAAAAAAAAAATGGGAGAGTCAGGAGAGTAGATGCTTATTAAACATTAATTGAACTGAATTAAGTCATGTTCTCAATTTAATCTTAGATGATATTATTTATTATAAATTATAGATGTAAAATATGTTTATTTGTTATAAAAGAATATTACTTATAAATAATAGCTAGTATTTATGTAGCGCTTTAAGGTTTGCAAAGCACTTTACGTATGTTATGTCATTTAACTCCCACAACCCTAGGAAATAGGAGCTAATATTATCTCCATTTTACAGACGAGGAAACTGAGGGCCAGAGAAATTAAATGATTTGTTCAGGTTCATACAGCTAGTAAGTGTTGGAGGCAGGATTTGAACTTAGGTCTTCCTGAATCCAAGTCCAGCACTCTGTGCACTTAGCTATCATCATCATCATCATCATCATTTGTCTGCATTAGTGATTTTTTTGGTGTAGGGAACTCCAGATAAGGAAACTCCCTCTACCAATGTGGATCAGCAGCTATTCTAAGACTATAGTCTGTATCAGTGGTAAGGAACCTGCGACCTCAAGGCCACATGTGGCCCTGTTCTGTGAAGTCTGGATTCAGTCAAAGGGTTGCACTTGAGGACCTAGAGGGCTACCAGAATATGTCTGAAGACAGACTTGAACTCAGGTATTCCAAATTCTAGGGGAGGCTCTCTAGCCACTATGCTATGTTGCCTCTTACTATTATACTTTATATGTTCTTCAGTCATGTCTGACTCTTTGTGACCCCATTTGAGGTTTTCTTGGCAGAGGTACTGAACTGGTTTGCCATTTTCTTCTCCAGTTCATTTTACAGATGAGGAAACTGAGGCAAACAGGGTGAAGTGACTTGCTCAGGATCACACAGCTAGTAAGTATCTGAGGTCAAATTTGAACTCAGATCTTCTTGACTCCTGGCCCAACATTCTATCCACTGCCCCACCTAGCTGCCCTGCCTCTTACCATAAGAACTATTTATTATAGATTAAAAAGCCCTCCCGCCAATAGGAGGCAATGAGGTGGAAAGAATTCTGAATTTTACCTGTGTGACTTTGAGCCAGTCACTTCATTTGTCCGAGCCTCAATTTCCTCTTCTGTAAAATGAGGAACCTGGACTGATGGTCTCTGAGGTCATTTCCAGCTCTGGGTCTACTTATCTTATGACCTTGAGTTGGTGTTTGGATTGAATCCCTGAGAAAACAGGTCCCCAGGTCCTAAGTGGGTGTAGGGCACCTACCTGGGTGTAGTGAGCACAGGTCAAGTTGCTGGCACAGTGAGCGGCTGAGTAGGTGTACCATTGCCCCTCTCGAAACCACGAAGTGACCACGTCAGTGAAGGAGGCGGCCCCAGCTGGCAGGAACTGCACATTCCAGCCCAGCTGCAGGGCCTGGACGGGCGCGGGGAGCGGGGCCTGGGCTGAACAGCGGGCTGCCTGCTCCTGGGCCAGCCTGGCCAGCTGATCACTCCAATCCTGCAGGAGAGGCAGAGGAGTCAGACAGCAGGCTCCTTTGAGTTTCAGTGTGGGGAGGGGACTGGGGCAGGGAGGGGGGGGGAGACACATGAGTGTAGCACCCAGACTCTCCTTGTCAACCTATTCAGGCTGCACAGAGCAGAGCTCGGGGTCTCAGCAGGATTATTGTTCTACTAGAAAAGATCACAAATCCACATCTACATTACATTCCCCATAGACCACATACCTTGGATCCAGTACCTGAATTGAGTTACCATATATCACAAAACCCTTGGACCTTTTAAAAACTAGCTGTAATTAATTCAATTGAATTAATTAAAATAATTAAATTTAATTAATTCAGCTTCTGCTTTGTAAGCACCCACTTGTCCTAGAGACAGACTTTTTTCTCCTCTCCCAGGCATATGCTCCTGTTTGCACATAAAATGATAGTAGTTGTTCTTCCTTGACCTTATACCTTAACACCCCCAACCCCATCTACCACACACACACACACACACCCCACTGCCTCCTTAAGATAGGTAAGGAGAAGGGGTTCATGTTCCCTAGGGAGTAAATGGAAAATAAATATCCAGAGAGGCTGAGACCTCCAAACAGGGCCATAACCAAGGTGGAGCAAACAGGTCTTGGGCTCAGGGCACAGAAATTCATTTTTTAAAATTGATTTTTAAGTGAAGTAAAATTTCATTAAAATGAAATAATTTTAAAATGAGTGTGTTTATAGATGCCTTTTGTATTTACAGCAATCCCCAAATTCAGAGAGCAGTTACAGCACGTGGATTTCATCAACAACTCAGCAACTCAGCTTAGCAACTAGTTAGCAAGGATCATCAGTTAAAATAGGAACCAGATGGCAGTTTCCTCCCCTCCAACACACACAACTGAATTTGTCTTTAAAAGTTAATTTGAGGGTGAATTTCACGCTGTGTGTCCTAGAATTGTCTCCTTTAGTCCCCCCAAAACTAGCTGCTACTCAGCTACTCTTTACTACACTGTGAAGTTCTGATGTTCTTGGTATCCCCCTCACCCCTGAAAGTGACCAGGGCTCCTCTGGACTTTGCAGACTGAGAAATAAAACTGTTTCCACCTAAGTACTGAATGATCTCTAGGGCTTTTTCCTTTTTTCTTTTTTTTTTAAATTTTAATTAATTTATTCATTTTTAGGTTTCAAAAATCACTTCCATAAGTTTTTGAGTTTTAAATTTTCTCCCCCTCCTTCCCTGCCTCCCTCTCTAAGACAGCCTGCAATCTGATGTAGGCTCTACATACACATTCCTATTAAACATATTTTCACGTTAGTCCTGTTGTAAAGAAGAATTAGAACCAATAGGAGGAACCACAAGAAAGAAGAAACAAAACAGAAAAAAAAAAGAGCAAATAGTATGCTTCAATCTGCATTCAAACTCCATAGTTCTTTATCTGGATATGGATAGTATTTTCTTAGTGTGATTCTGAAATGATTGCGGCAAAGTCTATAGGAAAGCAATGCCATGAGGGTAAAAAGATTCTTGTTACCATCAGTGGAATTTTGTACTGCCCCTCAAAGCAAAGACTCATTCCAGCACTTAGAATGATGCCTGTATAAGGGGGAACATTAAGAAGGTTCCATGAAGAAAAGAAGAGTTACCCTGTTTGCTCTGTGTGCTATAAGCTTGAACCTACTTTCCCTTGGACTCTGATTACACTTGCTGAAGAGTATGTCCCAGAATTTTGGGGGGATGTTTTACACTAACTATTCTTACCATACCACTTTAGTAAATGCACATTTCTAAAAGCTAGTAGCAGCTGGTTGGACAGTTGATATGAAATGATAATCAATGGGGGAATCACACTGTTGGGAGTTTGTGAGCAAAAGCATTAGAAAACCACACTCTCCAAATCAGAGACACTTAGAAATGAGAAGTAGCAACTTCCCTCTAGGGACCCCACCTGCCAGTATGAATGGGAGTTTGGGCTAATAGACGCAGAGCCTGCCCTACACTTAAGAAGAAAAGCCAGCTGTATATAATAGTCACAAATTCATGTGCAATCATTTTCTGTTCTACTATGACTATAAAAGTGTTCTTTTAATTTGGTATTGGTTCAGTTAAAAATAATTTTTATCAAGTGTGTGTGTTTTGGCAAATCATAAGTTGGTTTACTTAAAGAACCCTAGAGAGTCAACTAAAAAAACTAAGCAAAACAATGACCAACTCGACAAAGTTGCAAGATATAAAAATAAAGCCACAAATCATCTATATTACCATATATTACCAACAATATCCAGCAGGAAGAGTTAGAAAGAGAAATACCATTTAAAATAACTAAAGACAGTATAAAATACTTGGGAGTCTACTTGCCAAGACAAATAAAGACAGATCTAAATAACTGGAGAAATATTCATTGTGCATAGGCCAACATAATAAAAATTATATTACCTAAATTAATTTACTTATACAGTACCATGCCAATCAAACTTTCCTTAAAGTTTTTATTGAGCTAGAAAAAATAATAAAACTCATCTGGAGGAATGAAAGGTCAAGAATATCAAAGGAATCAATTTAAAAAATGGTAAGGTAGGTGACCTAGGAGTATCAGATCTCAAACTATACTACCAAATTATAATCACCAAAACCATTTGGTACTAGGTAAGAAATAGAGAGATTGATCAGCAAAACAGATTAGGTACCCAACAGGCAGAAGCAAATGAACACAATAACCTACAATTTGATAAACCCAAAGATCCTAGCTATTGAGGTAAGAACTCACTATTCAACAAAAACTGCTGGGAAAATTGGAAAGCAGTCTGACAGAGGTAAGGTATAGACCAACATCTCACAGCTCAAAGTGGCTATATGGTTTAGTCGAAAAGGATAACATCATAGACAAATTATTGGAGAGTTGAGGAAATTACCTGGCAGACTTATAGACAGAGATATGATAGAGAGGTCTGCAGAAAGTAAAAAGTATAATTTTGATTGCATAAAATTAAAAATTTATGCCCAAAGAGAGCTAAATCAAAGCAGCTAAAATTAGAAGAAAATAAGGAAACTAGGGAGAAAAATCTTTGCAGCAAGTTCTCTGATAAGTTTCTAAGATATGGAGGAAACTGATTCAAATTTAAAAGAAGCAAAGTCATTCTTCAACTGACAAATGGTCAAAGGATACAAATAGGCAGTTTTCAAAGAAAGAAATCTAAAATCTCAATAGCTATATGAAAAAATGCCCTTGGGGCAGCTAGGTGGTGCAGTGAATAGAGCACCGACTCTAGAGTCAAGAGGACCTGAGTTCAAATCCAGCCTCAGACACTTCACAATTACTAGCTGTGTGACCCTGGGCAAGTCACTTAACCCCAATTCCCTCACCAAAAAAAATGCCCTAAATTACTAATAATTAGAGAAATGCAAATTAAAATAATTCCGAGGTACCACCACATTAGATTGACTAAGATAAAAAAAGGAAAATGATAAATGTTGGATGGGCTGTGAGAAAACAGGGACACTAACACATGAATTGTGGAGTTATAAACTAGTCCAACCATTCTGGAAAATAATTTAGAACTACCCCCCAAAAGCTATTAAATTATGCATATCTTTTGACCCAGCAATTCCACTACTAAGTCTGTATCCCAAAGAGATCAAAAATAGAGGGGAAAGGGCCCATATGCACAAAAAATATTTACAACACCTCTTTTTTTGTGGTGGCAAAGAATTGGAAACTGAAGGGATGCCCATCAGTCGGGGAATGGTTGAACAAGTTATGGTATATGAATGCAATGGAATACTATTATGCTATGGGAAATGATCAAGGGATGGTTTCAGAAAAAACCTGGGAGGATCCGTATGAACTAACACAAAATGAAGTAAGCAGACCAGAAGAACAATTTATGATTATCGATTTTGAAAGACTTAGTATCTCTGATCAACATAATGACCAGCCATAATGTCAAAGGACTCATGATGAACCATATTATCCATCTCTGGAGAGAGAACTGATGGGCTCAGAGTACAGATTGAAATATATTTTTCTGTATTTTTTTCTTTTCTTCTTCTTCTTCTTCTTCTTCTTCTTGACATGGTTAATTTAGGAATTTATTTTGCATGACTATACATGTTTGCAAAGGCTTTTGTTTTGCTTGCTTTCTTCATGGGGGGGAGAGGAGAAGGGAGGGAGATAATTTGGAACTAGAAATAAAATAAAGTAAGTATGTGTATGGGTTTGTGAGTGGACAGTATGTGTGTGTGGAAAGGGTTTATAGAGGTAAGGAGGAATGTTTTTGTATATATGCATATGTATGTGTGTGTGTATATATATATAGATATAGATATACATATACATATATATATATGGGTAGTGGGGCTTGTGAGTAGTTACAGGAGTTTGCAGGAGGAGGTAGGTTATTTGTAGGGGTTGGAATATTCATGGCACTGGCGGGGTCGGGGGTGGGAAGGCTTGAGTGTGTGTGTGAGGGTTAATAAGTGTGTCTGGTGGTGCATAGTGTGTAGGTAACTGTAGTGGACACGTTCTACCATGGACAGCTCCAGGTCTTTTGACCTTGATGGTGACCCTGATTCTGGGACTATATACACACCAAGGAGGCTCAAGTGAGCTCAGCAACAGGAGAGGGAGAGGAAACCTGGGAACGGAGGAGACAGGATTCTCCCACCCCCACCTCCTGGGAACTTCACCTCCAGGCATCCAAGGTCATTGCTGAGCTGGGAAGGCATTTATGGCCTGTCTCCCAGCCTCCACAGCTGGGGGCTGAACCAGCCAGCTGGATGGTGACTTTAAATGCTCACTCCCTAGGGAAGCAGCCACCCTTTGGGAGCTCCCCACGCCCAAGGCCTAGTTAACCATTGTACCAGGGCCCAGGAGCAAGAACACTGGGGCCTTGGTGAGGCCCTGCCCCTGCCTTTACTCAACCTGGGTCAGATGAAAGGTCTCGTTGGGACTAAATCCTGTGGGTGACACCTTCTCTGGGCATCTCCCCCACGGAACAAGCCAGGGTGGGCTTCTGGTGCCTTTGCCTTGAGTCTCCCTCCTCTGGAATTGTAATTGGATGCCTACCCCCTCCCAGGAGCAGGGGAAATCAGGAGACCATACACTCTCTTCACTCGCAGCCCTCCCAGTAGGAAAAAAACTCAGCCTGGGAGCCCAGGTAGACACAGACACTCTAAGGAAATCTTCCAAGGAGAAAGCAAAGTGTGGAGACATAAAACTGTGGGGTTGCCCTCACTTCAGAAGCTCCTAGCTGATGTATGAGGTAGACCCAGCTGCCCCTGGTACCCCTGACCAAGCCCTCCCTGGGCTGTTTACAGTAATTAGATACCTCCATAGTTCCCTAAGTTAGTCCCCTGCCCTCTGGACCATCCTTGCCTTCATCACTTACTGACATCCCATCTCTGGAGCCAAGTGAGGGCCAAGACAGACAAATGAGCTGGGTGTGGGCCTCTGGGGTCACATGAGAGATCCCCGGGATGATTTGTTCAGGAAGGGCACCTCAAGAAGTCAGCCCCACCCAATGACCTTGCCACAACTTTCACCCTGGACTCATATACATGGTCCCCCTGTGGACATTCAGACTCTCTCTCTCTCTCTCTCTCTCTCTCTCTCCCTCTCTCTCTCTCTCTCTCTCTCTCTCTCTCTCTCTCTCTCCCTCCCTCTCTCCCTGTCTCTCTGTCTCTCTCTCTTCTATACCCACCCCTAGCTTGGTAGTTTGTCCAGGCTTTCATCTGGCTCTAGAGAGGAGGTTCTATCTGGGAAGGGTGTTGTGAGGATTAAATGAGATAATACATATACAGTGCTTCGCCAACCTTAAAAAGCTAGTTATATAAATGTTATCTATTTTTATTTGCTACAGGGGCAGGAAGGATTCAGTCCTCCTGAGAGCTTGAGATGCCCCGCTCTCCCCCTCTCCCCACCACACACACACACACACACACACACACACACACACACACACACAATCCCTCCTAGCTGGGACTAATTCTGACAGGGTTGATGAAGCATGAGAGCTGGAGCTAAGCATGGAGAGCTCAGTTGCCAGGGAGTAGGAAGAGGGAGAAACAATCCTGGGGCCTAGGCCTGGCCTCTAGCAAAGCCCAGCATGATCTCCATCACTCCTACAGCCTCATCACCTGCATGTATCTTGGCCAGGATCACCAGGCCACTCACTGCCCGGGTTCACAGGAGGCTGGGGTGAGGCCCTCGTCCATTCCCTGTGACTCTAGGCAGGACTGGGGCAGACAAACAGAGAGGCCCACCCCACCTCTACCCCAGGAGAGGAGATCCGTGTGCTCCCTTCCATAACAAGTTCAACAGACCTCCTTTGTGGGGAAGCTGCCTGCTTCAATGCCAGCCCAGCCTCAGTGGAATTAAAGACTGCTTACACCTTAAATTTAACTGAGGAATAGGGAGAGGGCACTGATGGATTCCATAGCTACCCTCACCCTCTCTCAGATCTCACATAGACTTTGTTTGCACCCCTCCAATTTGCTTACACAATATTTTATATTGTTTATTCACTCAGTAAACATTAAGTACCTACTGTGTGCAGAGAACTCCTAAAGGCCCAGAGGAGAGATAACTTGAATTGACTCAGTTAATACATAATGACTTCCTGATCCACCCAACAGCTGATGCACTCCCTTCCCAAACTACTTTGCCTTCATTTTGTTTACATTATGTGTGTGTGCACACATATACAGGCATACACTTGTATATATGTATATGTATGTGTACACATGTATAAATATACGTATTTATTTCTACATGCACAAGTTGTCCCCTTTCATGTTAGAATATAAGATCCTTGAAAGACAAGAACTTTTTTTTGCTTTTTCCTCGTAAACTCAGCATTGTTGACAGATTACAGCCTATCCTTGCTAGACTGCAAGTTCCCTGAGGGTAGAGACTGTGTTTTAGCTAAATTTCACTTCTCCTCCATGACTTAGCCAGTTTTCGACCTGCACAAAGTAGCTGTTTAATTAAATGTTTGTTGGATTGAATGGAATTGAGCCTTCTCTTTACTAGTAAACACTCTCAATTCCTTTAGCCAGCCCTTCCTCATGCTGGGGTTCTATTTTGCAACACCTTGGGTCATCCTCACTACCCTTTTCCAGTCCTTGTCTAGGTCAATTCCAGAGGATAGAGAGAGTAGGGTGGGATGGGGAAGACGCCCATGGTGGAGAAGGGAGGCATAAAGAAAGGTACACGTTCATGATTACGATATGAAAAAACAGTCAAGTCCTGATTAGTGCAAATAACCAACCCACGGCAGTCAGGTCATTGCATTGTTTGAATTTTTATTTGTGTTGGGCTGGAACCAATAGCCTTATTTTCTATATTATTATAACTTTAAGTAGTATGAATTTGAATACATGATATCATTTCAGGGGAGTCATAAATTTACACTAATCCAGAACCTAGCTACATAAATGCTAGTTGTTATTATTTTATTATTATTATTATTATTCCAACTACTCACCATCCTCTGCATGTTGGCAGCTGGTGGGTGGACCTTACTCCGAAGTCTGTTGTGCAGGGCCAGAAGCAAGAAACTTTCCTTCAAGCTCAGAGCTGGGGTGGGCGGTGGTGCAGCAAAGGCAGACACAGACAGACAGACAGACAGGCCAGAATCAGTCAAGGATGCAGGGAGGCCGATTCAAAGTCCGGAGCCCAGCGGGTCTCCTGGAGCAGCAGGGCTTCGACACTTGTCTCCCAGATTGCAACAGGAGGCAGGCAGATCTCCATGGTGATGGGGAAGGGGGAGACAGGGAGGAGGAAGGGGTGGGGAAGAGAAATCTCTCATTGGCAGCAGGACACAAAGGGACAGAGACAGAGAGGGGGGCCAGGGGCTGAGGCCACAGTGGCTTTTCTTTCTTGGGAAGCACTTGGATGGCAGAGGGGAATGGGTCAGAAGAAATCGGGCACGTCATCCCCAAGGACCTGAGGAACGGCAGGAAGGGATATAGGAAAGCCCTAAAGACTGTCCGTGTGAGGACCCAGAGGCAGGAGGAAAGAGATGCCGAGTGACTCCTGGAACCCCAAGGATACACAGCCAAGCTGTGATGGGATTCTCAGTACCACTCCCTGCCCCTCCTCCCAGCCCTCACGCAGACCAGGCAGGCCCCATGGAAACAATCTAGGAAGCAAGGAAGATGAGGAATCCAAGCTGCAGGGCCTGGGAGAGGGTAAGAATGCTTCGAGGTTAAGGGACTCAGCCTCTGAACACATGAAATCCCCCAACCCCGACTCCCCAGAAATTAGCATATGGCAGGATCTGATTTGCGTAAGGTTTGCATCGATCTGATTGACTATTCCCCGGCAAACTTCAAGTGGGGAAAAATGCTGCTGGATTTACAGTGTGTTTGAATGCTGACTTCTTCACCTCTGTGACTTTGGACAAGTCTCACAACCTTTGAGCTTCAGCTTTCTCTGTGAAATGGCAGAGGGGGCAGGTCAGCCTTCTAGCTCTAAATCTGTGATCCCATGAACTGAAATGTTTCTACCCCCACCACCCCAACCCACGTCCTGGTTTTTCTCTTTTTGGACCATCCCCTTGCACCTGAAGGGAGTGTGGAAACAGCCCAGAACAAGGGGGAGAGGGACCTTTGAAAGCTGAGTCCTCAGCCCTCAGTGAAGGGACACTTTCCCCCTCTTGTCCCCCCTCAAGCCCTGGGGTCTGTCCTGGTCTTTTGGCTCTTCATTTTGCGTCAGAGAGCTAAGCCGAATCAAGCCCAGCCTTGGAATAGGTTGAAGTGCCTCCGGGCTTGAGAGGCCACGGGATCAAGCATCTGGTGGGCACTCAGAGCACAGCCAGAGGAAAGGGGGTAGGCCACCATCCTGTCTTGATCCTTCCTGAATTCTCTGGCCTCCAACCTCCACTGATCATTCAAGGCTCTGCTTGCCAGTCTCCTTCAGGGAAATCCCATGAAGTGGTCTCTAGAGGATCAGACCTGTGCCCTGGGAAGGAGAGGGGGCTCTCTCTGGTCCCTGCATCCCATCCTGTGGGGCTTGCAACATCTTCCACCCACAGCCCAGACTTGCACAGATCCCATACCTCCCTTCTTCCCAACCCCCATTACCTTGATATAGAGGAACCTCCTTTGGCAGTTGGGGCATTTGGATTTCTGCCCAGGTAAAGTGAAGGAAACTCAGGAGCAAGGTCAGGAGCCTTTGGCACAACCCCCGTGGTCCCTGCATGTGGGGCAGCTCCCACTTGGGCACTGGACGTGTTGGTACAGGGCTGGGCAGAGCAGGACAGTGAGAGAGTCACTGGGGCTCTGAGCTATTCCCGTCTCTGTTCTCTTGTCCTCTTTCCCAGAGCAGGTTCCCAAGCACTAACGTCTATTCAAAACTTTGGACAGCCTGGGCTGGGCAAGGAGAGACAAAAGGGAGAGACTGTTGAGTAATCACTCTGTCCAAACAGCCCTGCTCTGTCCAAGTAGTTGTTGGCTTCTTGAAAGGAGACAGGCAAAATCAAGACAGATAGAGCCTGCGAAAACCCTCTGTCCTCCCTCCCTGCCTGTCCACCCAGCCCAGTGTGCACTGACCCAGCCCCTGCTAATCACTGGAGCGTTTTTAGAATGCTGGGGAGTCCTAGAGGCCCCTGATGATTGGCTAGAAGACATTCCAAGGCAGTGGATTAATGAATGGATGGCGGGGCTAGGGGGTGCTTGCTACGGCATCTGAGCCCATTCACCAGTTCTTGCCAGGAGGCACCCCCTAAACCCCTCCCCCCAAGTCAAAGAGAAGAATATTGGGGATTAAGAGACCCAGTTATGGTGGGAGACTGGAAGGACTGGGCAAGACCCCAAGGGAGTTCTTCTCTTTCCCAGGAAGCTCGCCCCAACCTTGCCATGAATTAAACATGGGCAGAAGGTAACAGCACACCGTGTGCCATCTGAAAGGGGCAGGCAGTTCCTTGGAAGGTGGGAAGGACCCAGCTCCTGGGAGGGCTGGGAAGGGAATGTTGGGAGTAGGGGGACGGTAACAATACAAGGAGAATGGGGCAGAGGGGAGCAGGGTCATGATTGTACTGGTGCCAAGGGGCATCGGAGGCAGGAGCAGAGGGGCTGCCTCAGCCCTCATTTGAATCTAGATTGTCTAGTCCACAGAGGAAGGGAGCTGGGTCCCAGCCCAACTCTGTGGTGTAATGTCCCTGGGAAATTTCAGGGAAATCCCATGAAGTAGTCCCTAGGATCGGACCCATGCCCTAGGAAGGAGAGGGGACTCTCTCTGGTCCCTGCATCCCATCCTGAGCTGGCAAGAAAAAAGTCTTGGTTAAGAGGAGCAGAAAGAAAAGACCGGCGAAGTCAGGGCTGAGTTCAACAAAGAGCTATTTCAGGCACCATTGCATCGAGCCAGGCTGGGTGGTCATGTGTCCTTGGTGCTTCTAGGTTCTAGGGACAGATGACCTGGGGGATGTTGGTGGGGTAGAAGGGACCCTTGGGCCCTACAGGCCCCAGGCCACAAAGCCCCTCTGGGCTAGTCCAACCCTAGAGGGATTGCTCTCCAATGAGATGCTACCTGTCAAGGGTTCAGCTCAGTGCCTGGCACATAGAAGGGACTTAATAAATGCTTGTCACTTCCCTCCCTTCCCCTTTCTGGGGCCCAAAATATCAGTGTGGGACAGCCCAATTACAGTGGGAGGCAGGCTTTCCCCTGCATTCTTCTTCCCAAAGGGAGGTGGATCAATGATTTGCCTTGCAGGGTTGCAGGTAAGGACTCCTGGCTCACAGCTCTCTGCTCTGCAGGGTGGGAGGTGCGGAGAAGGGGAGAGAAGAGGGTGTCTGGGTGTCTGAGTGTCTGTCCGTGCACGTTCAAGAACAGACACGTGTAGGATGGACATTCGTGCTGCAGCAGCCAAACCAGCCCAGAGACAAACAGCCTTGCCACTAACTCACAGGAAAGTGGCTTCTTTCCCCTGCTGCTTTTAGCTCCTGGCATGGTCGGGATTTAATATTCCTTACCCCTCAAAAATTCTTTCATATTAATTGCTAAAACTACTTAAAAGCTCTTTTGAGATCTTGCGGCTGTTATGACATTTTTGAATGAAATTTATGGCATCATTCTATTCAGAGTAACATAATTTCTAAGAGGAGATTATATTGGAGGTTTCTGCATCAGTGTCCAAGGAGGCATTTGCTCCTCCATTCACCTGGCGCCTAGGAGAAGCGGTCAAGTCTGAGGACCCGGGTTCAAATTCTGACTCTGACACACTCATTCACCTCCCTGGACCTTCTGCTTTATCTCAGAAATGACGGGGTTGGGCTAGGTGTCTGAGGCCACCTAAGGTCCTTCCAGTTCTGAATCTAGGACCTGCTGACCTCGCGGCCCAGAACGGGAGAGGACCAGCTCCGGGTGGATGTCCCAGAGGGACACCTCGCACTCCTCCCTCTCACCAGCAGAGAGCACCGCTCCCTCTCCGATAAAGAAGTGGGCATCGCCTGCACTTCCCCACTGGGTGTGAATGGGTGATTCTTTCCCTTTGAATGGGCACAGTGTGTGGGGCTGGGCAGACTTGGCAGAAGCTCGGGCCTCAAACCTCTCACTCAGTCCCTTGCCAGCTCCTCTCCCTTCCAGGCTGACAGCCCGAGCCCAGAGCCCCCGGGGCCCCAGATGCTAATGACCCTTTCGAGGGCAACCTTCCTCCACCGTCAGGGCTCTCGGGAACAAGCCGAAGGGAAAAGGCTCACAGAATCCTGAAGTCTCAGAGTTAGAAGGAACCTTAATCACCAGCCACTCCAACCCACGCCTCAGTCAATCAGTCAGTCAGTCAGTTAACAAGCATTTATTAGCCCAAAAAAAGCATTTATTAAGTGCTTACTGCATACTAGGTACTGGGCTAAGTCCTGAGGATACAAAGAAAAGCAAAAACAGTTCCTGCCTTCAAGGAGCTTACAATCTAATGGACCATAGAGCACGTAAGCAACTATACGCACACAAGATACATACAGAAGAGATGGGGGTGAGGCAGGGGCAAGTGGGGGGCCGGAATTGGGACAAAGTACAAATGCTGAAAAGCAAGAGGAAACCAGGATTTCTTCTCTATCCCCATTACCTTGTATGTATGTGATCTCTTCCCTGATCATAATACTAATAGCTCGTTGAGGTTTGTACTATCTTATATGACGCTCATAATGCCGGGGGGTAGGTGCTATCAGAGCAACCAAACGGAAATAGGGGACATCACCTGGCCGGGGTCATGTAGCTAATGGGTGTGTGAAGTGGAATTTGAACTTGGGTCCTTTGTGATTGCAGAGCCAGCGCTCTATCCACTGACCCACCGAGCTGCCCAATCGAGAGCAGGAATTGGTCTATTCTGTCTCTGTGTGTGTGTGCCTAGCCCCTAATTATCCCTCTGAGTAGGGAGGGGAGGAACATGGTGAGAAGTTTGCATCAGGAAGACAGTTGGGCTATTCTCTGTCCTGGCCGGCGGAGGAAAGAACGCTGGCCTGAGAGCCGGGAGGTGGAGAGCCCAGCCGATGACCAGGTGTGTCGGTAAGGTCCCAGGGATTCCTCTTTCTGCTAAAATTCCCTACGGCATCCCCTCAGGTTTTCTTCCCCACATGGGAATGTTCCGCGGCCCGCCTCCCAAGGGGTAGCTTCCATTAAAAGCCTCTACAGACAGGCCCTGGCGCTGCCCTGCTGGCCAAGGGAGGGGAAGGATTCCACCACCCCCACCATTCCTCTGCCAGCCCCATGTCCTGGGCCTCCACCTTTTGGGGTGCCTGGGGCCTTTCTCATTTTCTTCCTTCTCTGAACTCAGTCCACTCCTCACTCACTCAGCACATCCAGACTTCAATATCGTTAGTTCTCAGGTGCCCTAGATTATCATTCTTTGTATTCTTCACAGAGCTTGGCCCAGGGCGCTGAGCATAGTAGGACTCCATGAGTATGTGCTGATGGATGAGAGCAACCTCCAGGATCCCTCCCACCCTTCTCCATCCTCACAGCCACAGGAGCAAGGGCCTGGTGCCAGGCCAGGGACTCAGGGAGAGGCCTATAATCCAAACAAGCTTGCGGGCTCTCTGCTCTCTGCCTCACCTTCTCCCTGGATGCAGGCAGGAAGAAGGAGGAGAGGACGAGTTTCTGGGGTGGTGGGGGAGAAAATTCAGGGTCCAAAACACACACACATTACAGAAGGCTCCCAGGCCCCTTGGAGTCTGGCTTGCCCACAAGCCCCTCCCTTACAGGCAGATCTCTGGTGGTAGGTGGGGGGACCCTGGAGGGGGAAGGCGGCAGCCCCTCCTCAGCCCCGCCCCCTCAAGTTGGAAAGTCAGAGAGTGAGAGGTGGCAACGTCCTTCAGAGCAGACCAAAGGACCAGACAGCCAGCAGGAGGGGACAGCACCAGGGACCCCAGGTCATAGCTGTGTCCCCAGGCAGGATACAGCCTGGCTCACCGCAGTAAGTTGTTTGGGAGAGGGAGGGATCTTGGGGGAGGAGGAGGGCCTGGGAATCTTGGACCCCTTGGGTGTGAAATGAATGTGCTCCAAGGCTCTGGTCCTGGGGAAGCCCAGCCTGACGGAGACACCTCCCTACCCCATGAGACTGCAGCCAGGCAGGATGGCTATTCAGAGAGGGCTGGAAGATGCCCATTTTGGAGGCTGGCCAGGGACACCCCAGAGGAGATGCCTCTAGGAGGCAGAACAGAAGGAGTTGCCAGTGCTAGGATACGGCAGTGGATTTCAACCTTCCCTGAGAGAAGCTCTCTGAAGCTGGTGACCATCTCCTTACCGCAGATATTCAGAGGGCCGCTCTGACTGGTCCTGGCTATGCTCCTCACCCTACCCCACCCCCAAACTCCTTTCCCTTTCCCCGTCTCCTGCCAGCAGGAGGCAGCCTTCTGTGCTTCTGAATGGAGTAAGAAAATCGGAGCTCCGGGAGAAGGCTCCAACTAACCCACACCCTCATGCTCTACCCCCAGCGAGGCTCTGGGGCTGGGTGTCCTCTCTCCTCCTCTCCTCCAGGCTACCTAGAGCCCGGCCCTCACCCACGAACCTCTCCAGCCACAATGTTGTTTGGGTTGCTGTTTCTCACCGCCCTGAGCCTCCTGCAGGTCTCTCTCAGTGATGGGCAGGTAAGGGGAGTCCCTTCACTCACTTCGCCCCAAGACTTCTCATCAATCCTCCCCCTGGGGAATAATCAGGCAGCAGCATCTGGCGCTAGGCAGATCTCCCCACAAAGGTGCACATCCTGA